CAAAGTTCAACATCTACCATGATTACAAAAATAGACACTAAATTAAAAATAGATGATAACAGCAGAATACACATTTTTCTCATGTGCACATGGAACATTCTCCAGGATAGACCATATGTTAGGCCATAAAACAAGTTTTAATAAATTTTAAAAGATTGAAGTCATACAAAGCATCTCTTCCAATAATAATGAAATCAAACTAGAAATCAATAACAGAAGGAAAACTGGAAAATTCACAAATACATGGAAACCCAACAAGATACTCTTACACAACCAATGGATCAAAGAAGAAATCATAAAGGAAATTGGAAAATACCTTTAGCTAAATGAAATTAAAACATTACAAAGCAAAACTTATGGGATGCAATGAAAGTAGTGCTAAGAAAATTTATAGATGTAAATGCATATATTAAAAAATGACCTCTAGCATATTAAGGAAGTTTCCTTCTATTTCTAGTTTACTTAGTGTTTTTTTTTTTTTTTTTTTTTGAGACAGAGTCTCGCTTGTTGCCCAGGCTAGAGTGAGTGCCATGGCATCAGCCTAGCTCACAGCAACCTCAAACTCCTGGGCTCAAGCGATCCTCCTGCCTCAGCCTCCCGAGTAGCTGGGACTACAGGCATGCGCCACCATGCCCGGCTAATTTTTTATATATATATCAGTTGGCCAATTAATTTCTTTCTATTTATAGTAGAGACGGGGTCTCGCTCAGGCTCAGGCTGGTTTTGAACTCCTGACCTTGAGCAATCCACCCGCCTCGGCCTCCCAAGAGCTAGGATTACAGGCGTGAGCCACAGCGCCCGGCCCTACTTAGTGTTTTTATCAAAAAGTGTTAAATATTGTCAAATGCTTTGTCTGAGTCAATTGATATGATGATGTGGGTTTTTCCCCCTTCATTCTATTAATGTGGCATATTACAATGATTGATTTTTTTGTATATTAAACCATCCTTGCATTTCAGGAATAAATCCAACATATGCTTTTGGTGTATATCCCTTTTAATGTGCTGCTGAATCCACTTTGCTATCATTTTGTTGAGGATTTTTGCTTCAATATTCATCAGGGATATTTGTCTGTAGTCTCCTTTCCTTATAATGTCTTTGTCTGGCTTTGGAAGTAGGGTAATGGCTGATTCCATAGAATAAGTGAGGAAGTGTTCCCTCTCTTTAGTTTTTTGGAAAAGTTTGAAAAAGATTGGTGTTGATTCTTTAAATGGTTGGTAGAATACCAGTGAAGCCATCTGGTCCAGGGCTTTTCTTTGTTGGGAGGTTTTTGATTACTGATTCAATCTTTTTCTTAGTTATAGATCTATTCAAGTTTTCTACTTGTGATTCAGTTTTGGCAGAGTGTACATTTCTAGAAATTTGTCCTTTTCATCTAGGTTATCCAATTAGTTGCTGTTCAATTTTTCATTGTGTTTTCTCATAAGTCTTTTTATTTCTGTAAAACTGGTAGTAATATACCCACTTTCATTTCTTCTTGGTAATTTTCGTTTTTTTTTTTTTTTTAGTCATTCTAGCTAAAGATTTGTCAATTTGGTTGATCTTTTCAAAAAGTTAACTTTTGGTTTTGTTGATTTTTGCTATTGTTTTTCTATTCTCTATTTTACTTATCTCCATCATTGTTTCCTTTTATCTGCTAGTTTGGGGTTTTGTTTGCTCTTCTTTATCTAGTTTCTTAAGGTTCACACCTTAAGGTTACTGATTTGAGATTTTTCTTCTTTTTTAATGTATGTGTTTATAGTGGTAAGTTCTCTCTTACCATTGTTTTTGCTGCATCTCATAAGTTTTGGTATGTTGTGTTTCATTTTCATTCAGCTTAAGGTATTTTCTAAGTTCCCTTGTGATTTCTTCTTTGACCCATCAATTAAGAGTGTGTTGTTTGGTTTTTGTGAATTTTCCAGTTCCCCTTCTATTTTTCATTTCTAGTTTTATTCCTTTTTGATCAGAAATCATAATGGCATCTTTCTATTTTATTCCCTTATGATAAGCTCTTATGCTCTTGGCCCTGAAAATTGGACCCCTAGATGTTCAAATGCTGGTTTTGCCTCATCACTAAGATCTTTGCTCAAATATTTATATAACCTCATAGAAACTTTCTCTGACCACAGTTTATAAAATTGTACCCTACCTCACCACATCCTACAGTCACTTCTTGTTTCCTGGTTTGTTGAATTTATGGCATTTATCACAATCTGAAATCATATGCTTTATTTAATTCTTTACTTTATACTTTAAGTCTTTATTTAATTCTTGGTTCTTTATCTCTCCCAGTAGAATATAAGCTCAATGAAAGCAGAGATAGTCTGTCTTGTTCACAACAAGAGCTTAATAAATATTCGATGAATATGTATTTGTTGAATATCACCTTGCTCTTCAAATAGCACACTATCTTTACTTAAATAAATTTGTTTATATAGTTTTTCATGCTGGGAGACTTGAGAAGCAATTCTTATACCCTGTGTAGTTTTTCTATGCTTTTTCCCTCTCTGAAGTTACTATTATACTCTTTGCCCTCCATTGTGTTTAGAGTTGAAAGTTGGATCATCTAAATCAGTTTATACTATATCTTTATAATTTCACATGTTTCAGTAAAATCTCTACTCATGTTTTTCTGTGCTGGTATTTCAGATTTTATAGTAGTTTCTAGAAAACTTTTCACAAGCAAACCCTTTAAGCAGCATTGCAATTCTTTTCTGAATATTTACACTAGTTATATTTTAATACAATATGTATTTACTGCAGTGATTATTCATTCAAATAAGTGAAATTATTTAAGGGTATCTTAGAATTTCAGAGATGAATGGGACATTGATTTAATATTTGTTATTAATGCAAATTTTCTTGTTCTATTGAACTGACAGTATTGAATATGCTAACTATATTATGTATAGTCACATATCATATTATATGTACATCGCATTATGTGAAATTAAGTTATGTTCAATTTATTTCACTATTTGGAAGTTTAATTGAAATGATTACTCTTTCATCAAAATTATAAGTTTTCTTTTTATAACATCTCTCAATAACCTGCAAAGAAAGAAATATATTACTCTCTGTTTTTACTTTGTCCCTTTTCTACTTTATATCAATCTTCCTCTTTCTTCGGTCTTCATTTCTCCAGAGTTTCTCTCCGATACCACCAAACATTGTACTGGAGCCAATATCTGGCACTTTTTTTCTGTCTCTGTGCCTGTCCCTGGCAACTTTACCTCTAGGAAATAGTTTAGAATCTATTTTAAAATTAGATTAATATTTAAGAAGCAAGAAAGTGCCAGAGCTTATTTAGTACAATATGGTGTCAAACTACTATTAACACTTTGTTCTTTGATTTGCTCCCTGGGCACCCTGCTTTTGATGATGGAAATGCAATGGCTATAAAGGGCAGACATCACTCCCATGTCCTGGAAAGAACAGAAAGAAAACTCTCTCATTTAAAAATGGGATTTTGCTCCTCACAGTTTCCCCCACATTTGCGGATCCTGCCCTACTTGAAGGTCAGCTACTTATTCTAGGAAGGCTTCTCTTTCATCTGGACTCTCCCAAGAATTGGCATTTGCATCTCACACTCTAGTACATTCTTGGTTTGTATTTGTTTCATGTTGTGTTGACAGTACTGTTTCTCTGGAGGATATAGGCTTCTTGAAGGCAAGACCATGTTTTATACATAAAACAAATAAACAAGCAACTACTCAAATAGTAGCATGACTCTACATTAGATATTCCCTAGGATTAGACTTTAAAATGACTTGTTAATGATGTAGTTTGTGAAAAGGCCTCTAGTTACTTAGATACAATTTCAATTCCTTGAATTTTAGGTTGGTCAATAGAAAAGGACTATTCTTTATGAGACACTGTCATTTCTTCAGTGTATATTTTTTCTTTTCTTTTTTAATTTCAGCATATTATGGGAGTACAACTGTTAAGGTTATGTATATTGCCCTTGCCCCCCCTTCCCCCCTCAAGTCAAAGCTTCAAGTGTGTTCATCCCCCAGATGGTGCACATCGCACTCATTATATACCTAGCATTATATACCCATCCCCTACCCCCCTCCTCTCTGCCCGACAGCCGATAACTGTTATTCCTGTATGTGCACTTAGGTGTTGATCAGTGAAACCAATTTGTTGGTGAGTACATGTGGTGCTCACCAACAAATTCTTTTTCCATTCTTGGGATACCTCACTTAGTAGAATGGGTTCCAGCTCTATCCAGGAAAATACAAGAGGTGCTATATCACCGGTGTTTCTTATAGCTGAATAGTAATACATATGCCACATTTTATTAATCCACTCATGTATTGATGGGCACTTGGGTTGTTTCCACATCTTTGCAATTGTGAATTGTGCAGCTATAAACATTCGAGTGCAGGTGTCTTTTCAATAGAGTCTTTTGGGTAGATGCCCAGTAATGGGATTGCTGGATCAAATGGTAGATCCACTTGTATCGCTTTAAGGTCTCCCCATATTGCTTTCCACAGAGGTATTTTTTAAAGAAGTTCTGTTCTCTCTCCTCCCATTGCCTGCCATCCACCTCCCATAATTGCAGCTTTCTTGAGCTGTTAAAATGCGGCCAAACAATATGCTAAACATTTCACCTATGTTATTTAAATCTGAAAATCCTGCAAAGTGACTATTATTACTATTATTATTGTTATTAGAATTTCTGTGTGCCGAATTGAATTAATCCTTGGCTCATTCATAATCCCCATTTGTTTGTTTACTTACTTTTAATGAGATAATAAGCACCTATGAACCTACCACTTGAAAGCTAGGACCTTGACCATAACCTTTACCTAACCCCCCTTTCATCGGCCTCTTCCCACCCTGCCATGCCCCACCCCAGGTCACAGAAAAGTCGGTATTGTTGTTGCTAAGCGTTGAAAGTGGAGCCAGGTGGGAGGTGTTTGGGTGGCTTGGCAACCTCTCGCGATAATGAGTGAGTTCTCGCTTTGTTAGTTCACGCGAGAGCTGGTTGTTCAAAGGCGCCTGGCACCGCCTCCTCCCTCGCTTGCTCCCACTCTCGCGATGGGACTCACCTGCTCCCTCCTCACCTTCCGTCTTGATTGGCAGCTCCCCAGGCCCTCACCGGAAGCAGATGCTGGCGTGACACTTGTCGTACAGTCTGCAGAACCGTGAGCCACGTGAATTTATGTTCTTTGTAAATAACACACATGTTACGTACAACCTCAGATGTTCCCTTATAGCAGCGTGAAACGAACTAATACAGTTATCTAGCATTTTGAAGATAAGAAATCGGAGATTTAGGGAGGGTAAGAGTTTTTTTTTTTTTTTTTTTTTTTTTTTTTTAAGATCACCCCACTAGTAAGTGGAACACTTGAGATTCAGATCTAGGTGTGTCTCACTCTGGTACCTGGGCTGAAAACCGCTCATGTCATCTCCCAGTTGTTCTTCACGGGCTAGGTGGCAGAGAAGAGGTGTTCAGTGACATGAAGCAGGTGCTCGAACCTAAATCTTGAAGGGATGATGACCACCTCAGGCAAGGCTGCTGGTTCGTCTCCAGGCTTCAATTTTGGTTTGTGTTGGTTGGATTTCTTTACCTAGCCCCTCTCTCGGTTAGTTCATGGCTCAGCTCTCCCATGGCTGGCCACATTCCAGTTGGTTCAGGTTTCAAAAACCAAACGAAAAGGGGTTATAATTAAGGGCAGCACTGTGTAAAGTTGTTTTGGTTTGGAAGAGAATTTTTTTCTAAATAACTACCTTTCTTGCAAATGGCTGTTTGAAAAATGGTAATTTCAATAGAAAGGCTTTATTGTGTACTGTAAAAAGAGCCCTCTTTTGGTCTACAAATGTTGGTGGCTAGTGTGCAGTATGGTGTTATCTAGAAGAATATGTATAGATTTATACTTGGGTGTTTTATTCTGCTAGTATTGAATTACTGGTGAGGGGTCTCTCTCTCTCTCTCTCTCTCTCCCTCCCTCTCTCTCTCTCTCCCCCTCCCTCCCTCCCTCCCTCCCTCTTTCCTCTTGCAATTCTACACTGATAGAAATGCAAAGTTAAAGGAGGAGGCTCATCAGTGACGCCTCAAAAAAAAAATCCTATTGAACAATGTGTGCCCAGATGTCTAGGAAAATATCCAAAGAAGTGAAAGTTGCATCTACTGGACATCACAGGAGGTTTGTCCTTAGATAACTATTTCCTTTTTGGATTTAATGGAAAAGAATGTTCTGCATGATACTGGACACTTGCAGAACTGATTGATCCTTAACAACAGACTTGAACAAGGGCATCAAAGGTCTGATGAATGAGGAAGTTATTCTTATAACAAAGGGAGGGAAAAGTCTAACGAATAATGTTAGTGTGTGAAGCACTAAATCAAGATATTAGATTATTAAGTCCTTTATTTTTCTTAGTGGCCACTGTAAAATAAACATGGTTTATGGAAATAATTTGTTGAACTGATTTTCTGCCTCATAGGAGAAATAATGTTAGCAAACTAAAGCATGTTAACAACTTGTCTAAGGTGCTTTACCTAATTCCTAATTGTAATTAGGTGTTTGTGGGTTTTTGTTTTTTTTTTTACTTATCAACTTAATAACATCCAGTACCAAGAAATTAAGAAAATTGGCTCATACATTCTATTTGTGTCCTTGTTCCCCATATGGAGGCTAGAAATTAGCCATACAGTATATTTAGTATCTATTTGGCTGATACTATGTTTTGAAAAACTTGAGCATTGATAGATATTATGGCTTTTCTTTTTTCTGTGATACAAATTCACGTATTTTCTCCTTGGATTCCAGTTACTAGAATCCACTGCTTACAGGGTCCAAATTCCTAGTATTATTATATTTCTTCATAACGTTTTTGTCCCTGAAATGTAAGAATGTAACAAGTAAGAGTTCCTGGGTTTCACTTGATTTCTAATGGAAGGACTCAGTGAGCAGGTATGAATGCAATCGAGTGCTGAGCAGATATCAACCGATTGAGCATCTGGGCTATATCAGTCACAGTACAGGTGCTAAGTTAATCCCAGAGGAAAACAAATCTATTTCCTGCCTCATGCATAAGTGAGAGTTTTGGGTTTACTCTATGTCTTTTTCAAGCACAGTTTTCTCCTCTGAACTAAATAACACATTCTCAACTTTTCTAAGGATGGTACATAACTAGCACCAGTCTACAAGCTTACAAGAGAAGTTTTTCGTCATTTCCAATTGACACCTTAAGCCATTAGAAAGAGTCTATTTCATTCTTCTCGGTTCTGTTCTATTGATCTACTTGTCCGTTCTTTCACCAGTACTATCCTGTCTTGATTACTGTTGTTCTATAGTAAGTCTTAACGTCAAGTAGTGTCAGTTTTCCAACTTTGTTTTTCTCCTCCTCCAATATTGTGTTAGTAATTCTGGGTCTTTTGCATCCTCATAAATTTTAGAATCAAATTGTTGAAATATTCCAAATAAGTTGTCGAGATTTTGAATGGGATTTCATTGAATCTATAGATCAGGTTGGAAAGAACTTTACAATATTGTTTTCCTATCCATGTACATCAAATATCTCTTTATTTATTTAGATCTTCTTTGATTTATTCCATCAGAGTTTTGTAGTTTTCCTGTACATATTACATTATTAATAGATTTATACATAAGTGTTAAGTATTTCTGTTTTTTATTGCTAATGTAAATGATATTATGTTTTTAATTTTAAATTCCAACTGTTTATACCTTGGGATTTTCTACATAGATAATCATGTCATCTGCTATCAAAACAGTTTTATTTCTTTCTTACCAATCTGTATACATTTTATTTCCTTTTCTTGTTTCATTGCATTAGCTAGGACTTGCAATATGATTTTGAAAATGAGTGGTGAAAGGGGATATTCTTGCCTTGTTCCTGATCTTAGCAGGAAAGCTTCTAGTTTCTTGCCATTGAGTATGTTAGCTGTAGGTTTATTGTAGATGTTCTTTATGTTTGAAGAATATTACATAAAAATGTTTTTTATGTTCAAGTTGAGGGCATTCCCCTGTATTTCTAGTTTACTGAGAGTTTTTATGAATGAGTTCTGGATTTTATCTAATACTTTTTCTGCGATCGATGAATATGATCATGTGATTTTTCATCTTTAGCTTGTTAATGTGATGGGTTACATTAACTGTATTTTGAATGTTGCACCAGCCTTGCATACCTGGAACAAATCCAACTCAGTGGTGGTGCATAATTCTTTTTATACATTGTTGGATTTAGTTTGCTAATGTTTTATTGAGGATTTTGCATCTATATTTATGAGAGATATTGGTCTGTAGTTTTCCTCTCTTGTAATGTCTCTGTCTGATTTTGATAGTAGGATAAGGCTGGTTTTATAGGATTAGTTAGAAAGTATTACCTCTGCTTTTATTTTCTGGAAGAGATTGCAGAGAATGGTATAATTTCTTAAATGTTTGGTAGAATTTACCAGTAAACCCACCTGAGCCTAGTGCTTTCTGTTTTACCTGGTTATTAATTACTGATTCAATATTTTAAGTAGATATAGGCCTATTTAAATTATCTCCTCCTCCTCCTGTGAGTTTTAGTAGATTGTGTCATTCAAAGATTTGGTCCGTTTCATCTATGTTGTCACATTTGTGTTCATGATTGTCATTATTATTCATTTTATGCCCATGGGATCAGTAATGATTATCCAACTTTTATTTCTGATATTAGTAATTTCTGTCTTCTTTTTTCTTAGCTGGCCTGGCTAAATGTTTATCTTTTCTTTTAAATTTCATTGATTTCTACTCTACTTTTTATTATTTCTTGAATTCTTCTGCTTGCTTTGGATTTACTTTGCTCCTTTTCTATTTTTCTAGAGTAGAAACTCAGATTATTGATTTTAGATTTTCTTCTTTTCCAATATATGCATTCAATGCTATAAATTTCCTTCTGAGAACTGCTTTTGCTGTATCCCACAAATTTGGGTAAATCGTATTTTCATTTAGTTAGGAATATTTTTAAATTTCTCTTGAGACTTTCTTTGACCCATGTGTTACTTAAAAGTGTTTTATTTAGCCTCCAGGTATTTTGGAGTTTTCCATCTACCTTTCTATTATTGAATTTTAATTTAATTCCATTGTGATCTGATAACTTACTTTGTATGATTTCTGTTCTTTTAGTAGTTTTGGGGTGTTAGATGGGACCCAATAAATGACACCTATTTTTACCAACCACATTCTGAATTAACTGAAAAGTAAAACATATCTGTCAGCAGATGAGGGACACAAATATCACCTTCATTTTTATAAGGCTGACTTGGGCAAATGTGGCTTCTAAGCGTAGGCAAGTAGACGCCCCACTGCTGAACCCCAGAAAGAGAGTGACAAATCCACACAGTGCCAGGCAGCCCTGGACAAGAAAGAGCCTGCCCACCATGGGCTCAGGAGAAGCAGAGAAGGATAGTTGATCCTCCCAAGTGAGAGCAGAAGGGTCTAGCCTTGCATGCCCAGTTTCTCCTTCCAAATTCCCCCATTAGGTTAGCTGCTTAGGGCAAGGAGAAGCCAGAATTTTTGTTTTGGGGATTCTTCCACTAGCAAGGAAATCTGGGACATAGGAAAGAAGCATTGGCAAAAGTAATATCTGGATGAGTAATTCAAGACCTTGCTTTCTGGCAATAGCTTTACAGCAATGGCTGCTGCTTCAAGACATATTGATAATATTAATAACAATTGTGGATGTCTTATCTGCTTTTCCTTTAGGAAAGTTGAGAGGCTTAAGCCGCAGGCCCCTCAGATGAGGCCCACCCCATCTTAGCCTGAGCTGGGAGTATAAAAGCCCCTACAAGCAAAACAAAACTCCTTCTAAAGAAGTAGGAGCAAGAGCTTGAAACTCCATGCTTTTATGCCATAATACACGAACCAAGTGATTTGGGCCTAGAAAACAATGCTTGATCTGCTTTTAGGGCTGTAGCAAAAAGTCAGTAATTCCCAAGGAAATGCCAGATCCTAAGCATAAGCCCTTGGAATGAACACAACTCAGTTGCATTCGCTGAAAAATGTCCCCCCAAGGTAATGAACACTGTGACTTCCTGAGTAAAGCAAACAGGGAATTTAGAGTTCTGAAATAAATCTCATATTTGGAATAGTTGGAGGTTTTGTGGGAAAATACATTTTATTTTAAATAGAAAGATGAGAAATCAAGATAATAT